ACTAATTATGATACAGCTTTATGTTTATTATAATTATAATTGATAATCAAGCGATAGCTTAGTAAACCAATGTAATATCGCTCTCGTCTCAAATATCCTGATTTGTAATATATTCCGTGCTCCGTTGATCTAAGGCTTTGGATAAAAATACACGCATGATACGTTTATCAATAGCATCGAAAGCTGTCAACGAATAATAGACTGATAAACATATTAAGATACGTAGTGAGTCAATGAAATGAAATCTCTTGTTTGAAAATCCATCAGAAAGGGGATGCCATTAAATAAACATAATCCAAAATAGGACCGGGGACAATCGAGTAGGACTCAACAAATCTTTGAATTTGCTTCTAGCTACACACTTTCTTTCGGTCTTCGGCATTGAGCATAGCACTATTCACTGGATTTGTACAATGCAAAAGTGACGCGAGCTCTTCTTTGACGTTTGACGCTGGGCCTTCTCGATGATGGCTTTTACCCTGGCCTCCGAGACTCTAATCATCGCGGCTGCGCACGAGATTCTATATACACGTATATTATGGCGGGGCTTCGGGGCGGGTTGTTTACCTGAGTAATTTGTCAGCGCCTAATATCCCAAGGGCCAAATCTGGCCCTTCGCAAGCCGCAGGAGCTGGCTTTCAGGGGCCAGTCAGCGGGTGGTGCTTCCATGGCTGTGCGCCCGGTCACCTTTTAAATCTGCTGCGCTCGACGCTCCAGAAAGACTTTCTGATGGCTTGCTGCCGCCGATGATAATCGACTGGTTTCAGGGATTTTACTTGCCGCTCGCTGCCGGTGAACTGACGTCGCGTTATAATATTTTTTTCTTTCTTTGCTTTATTGTTTTCATTTGTTTTGTTTTGTTTTGTTTTGTTTTGTTATTTATTATTTTTTTTTTTTTACGATTTTCACCACTGATACTGATGTAGCTTTGCCGCGTTTCTATGTGCGATAAGATTTTAATGGAAAGACGTGTACGGACTGTGAGAGATGGATAGCCGTTCATCTTCTTACATCGATATTAATATTTTTTTTTTTTTTTTTTTTTTTTTTTTGGATATCGCTTGAAATTACTTTCCCTTCCATTTTGTGTATATGAGTATGTCGAAATAAGCCATGTGAAGTTGATGATGTCAAAGTTTATTTTGACTCGATGAACGGACAATGCTAAATGCTATTTTAGCTAGTATTATCAATGCATTTTAACAGTATTATCGATCGTTTTCGATCTAATTAACGATCCTAATTACATCATCGGAATTTAGTTTTTCAATAAGAATAATATGTACGCGTACATATATGCAGACTCATCTATAGCAGTTCATATATAATTTGATAATAATTTCCATTTATTTAAAACGGAATTTAATTTGACCTTTTATTCCATTTTGAACAGTCGGTGAATATAATAAAATTGAATTAAATATATAACATATATGTTCATTAAACCGTCATATATTAAATAATTATTATTTTTTTTTTATACAACTCGACATAATAAATAAGCAATGAATCATGAAAACGGGATATTCATTCCATTTATCGTTATTCCATCCCCCCTCCACAACCTACACACTCATATTGTATTTAACAATTGATTAATAGTATAGAAAGAATATGCATTGAAAAATTTTCATGTAAATATTACGAAATGTAATTTAAGAAATGATTCAATGAAATACATAAAAATACAAGGTTGCCAATAAATATAATGAAATAAAAGTCGTTATAAGTGAAGTGTCAATATACCAACGTTCAGTCATGCGTTGTAAGAGTAATACTTGAGCCACAATGATATTCTTTATCAGGGTTTTCTATACACGCGCAGTGTTCCGTATTTTACCTTTAATTTTCACAGGCAAATAGAATTAATCAAATATTTATTCTAAACATGATATACCGTTTACTTAATCTGAATTTTATAACTTAATCTAGATTTTATAATGTATACGTGCATAAACGTATATGCACAAGCACAGGTATATGCATGCGTATGCATTGAAAGCTTAGTAATTGTACGTAAAGGTTTTATCTAATGTTAATGAAATTCCATTAAACCAAAGACTATGTATGTTGTTATATATTTATTTATATTAAAAGTAATGAAAAAAATGTTAAATTATAATTTTCATCGCAATTTAATCATTTATAACTAGAAAATCAAGAAAATATAATCAGTTTATATACGTTGATAATCGATGGTACCCTAATTTAATTAATAAATTGTTTTGGCTATACCAACTTTATGATATAATAAATTCTTGTGAGAAATTAAGAAAAAGGCAAATAGAATCAATTTACATTATTCTTAAATATATATTAAAAAGAGTAATTGGCTTTCTAAGCAAAATGATTATTTTTTTTTATAAATTTTATGTTAGAAAAGATTTGTTTTCTCTATCGTATCCTATATTACCATTAAGTATCATAATATATAATACTAAGACTAAATTTATTTTCATTAATTATGATTTTTATTATAGTTAGCAATATAGTTTTAGAAAATTTCAAAATATTATTATAAGCACTGCAAACTCATATATAATATTAAACTATCTTAAAAAATATTTAATAAAGATTATTATATAACGAATAGAATAGTTTGAACAGGCTTGTACAATCAAAGATTGAATATGAAACCGAATAATTGAAAGTAAAAAAATGAAAATAATTCCAATGCAAATATTATTTTGTATACAATCAAGTTCTAAAAGCTCCCTCTTAATAATGAAGTTGGTGAAAGCCTTGGCCAGGGCGATATATCCTTCTCCCTTTCTCTCTCTCTCTCTCTCTCTCTCTCTCTCTCTCTCTCTCTCTCTCTCTGTTTTCCCCAACGTGCGTAAGCATGTGGGTACATACACGTAGAGGCGCACACGCGTGTACATATGGGCACAGAGCCGAGATCCATTGTATATGGTTTTATAAAGCCCGTGTAGGAACTGAATTGTCAAGTAGCCGCGACAAATGATGACAAAAGACTGCCTCCGTGCGGCGTGCGCTCGATCAAGAAAAAAGGAAGAACAGATCTATTGGCGGACCGCCATGCTATATGTCAGCGACAGTGACACAATTGAATAAGAGGAGAGCGAGGAAAGTGTTTCGAATGGCGCGCGCCAGTCAACGGACCAGAAGGTGATTACTTTATCCATCGGGACGACGAAGAAAGAGAGAGAGAGAGAGAGAGAGAGAGAGAGAGAGAGAGAGAGGGAAACTTTTCTTTCACCTTTCTATTCGTTTTCGGTGATTACATGTTGGCCTACCACAGTAATTCGGGATGTTTGCACTGCGGACCCGAACGTCGACCGAGTTTTCTCATTGTACGGCGATTACCACGCAAATCATCCTGAAATGTCCCGTGAAAATGCGTATTGTTACCATCGCGCAGGTAAGAGCTCTTTTTTCCTTTGCCTCCGAAATCTCGGTCATTACACGAACGCTTTTCTCCGCATGATTTTCCTCGAGATTTTGGCCTGACGTATTGTTAATATTGCGTGACCCATTGAGATTGGTTTGGTTATGTTTACCAAGCGACTTATCAACGGTGTTTACTTTTTTATAACAAAAGTTCTATTTTGATTTGTCTTTTTACCAGAACAAGGTACGATAATGGCAATGTTTAAGAAAATGTTATTTTAGTTTACAATTCCAAAGCAGGAGAAATAGCTTGAATTTGACAGGAAGAAAAGGTTCTGTGAGTAGGGGGAATAGAGAGTGTTTGAAAATAGACAATAATGTGTTGGCATTTATATGTAATAACAATTTTATTATCATTATTATAATTATATATTGAAAATTTTATTTACAATTTATTGTATGGGTATGATGAAATCGGTCGCTTCAACTTATCAACTTTTTTCTCGTTAACCACTATATATACGCGCGTAGTAGAACTTTCGATTTTAATATTAGTTAAATCTATATTATCTCTATACTTATATATACATATGCATACGCACGCACACGCGCGTACATAAATGCATATATACACACACACATACACTCACGCACACACACACACGCACACGCACACACACGCGCACACACACATAAATATATATATATATATATATATATATATATATATTTACGTAGATCTGTATATGTGCATGGGTATATATATATATATTTTCTTTACAGACGCTTTTTTATTTACAGCTATACAATATTTCCTATTACTATCAAAACCTCGTAAATTTCAACCTTTCTCGTGTACAGTTTTCCGCTTCATCTTTTTTTTTTCTTTTTATTGCAACTCGCGCACTACGTGCGCATTTTATCTTACCTAATAATCAATCATACACGTGTGCGTGTACATCGCTTAAAAAAATATATAGCTCCCATTATACGTAAGAAAGAAAGCCTTTTGACATATTGTGATATGTTTGTATCACAGTTGCCTGTTTTTCTACGTTCGATGCTAATGCTTTGGTACGCGAAAACTATATGTCGGTGTCCGCCTCGATTGAATTATTTTAAAGGCGGCTTTGAATATTTTCTCAAAGTATATACTTTCAAACAATAATTCAGTGTGCGGCAGCTTACAACTTTTTTTTTTTTTATGTCAGTCTACATGAGATCATTTTGCCTTTGTAAAACAATGATTTAGTGCGATGACTTTTTAAATAACTACAAGGTCTCTCATATCATGTAATGAACATGAGTTCTATAATATCGGGCACTAAGTGTTTGTACTTGTTTAACGTTAAGTGATAAAATCCATTGATAAAATTGAACAAGTTGGTGTGGATTGGGTGATAAAGGATGGCTCGAGCTAATGAAGTTAAATGGGGATGTGTCTCCCTATCCTTGTTAATGAAAATCCGCTTTCAAACTGTTGATTGGCGAATTTTTTAAACGATTCGCATCGCACTCACTAGTCCTTATTTATACCGAAAATTCAAAGATACATTGTCGGGCTTTTTCACCAATGTTTGTCACCAATTCCTCGCTCGGCGACACGGATTAAGCACGATAAGACACGTGGCCATCTAAGCTTGGCACAATCATGACTTGGCATAAACGTCGCAGATGATCTTCTCAATGGACGTGACGCCGATAGTCTTTCTGAAGAAGAACTCCTCGATCGCGTGGGCCGAGACGGTTCTCAGCATCGGTAGCATCAGAATCAATTTGCTGAATCTGACGGCGCCGAAGGAGCTGGTGGCGGCCATTCTAGCACCCAAGGCAGTCTGGGCACTGTCCCTCAGCCTGACGACACTGGCCGCGTCCCTGAGTCTGCTGCCGCCGGTGCCGGGTGACACGGAGCCACTGCTGCTGCGACTGCTGGGAACGGATTCGCAGTCGAGGCCGGCCTTGTAGAGTACGACCGCCCTTACGCACGAATACTCGTGGGGGTCGAGACTGAGCCCGTTGAAGGCGATGAGGGTCTCGCGGAAGCGGCTGACTTCGAGGGCCAGCCCAAGGCTCTGGGGACCCGGGGGCAGCAGCGGCGTCGGGTCGAGGTGTGGGACGCACTGCGCTGCGGCGAGGAGGAAGAGCTCGCGCCAGGAGGATTCGAGGACGGTTAGCTGATCTTCCATGCAGAGGCCCGAATTGGCGTTGAGGTCCCGTGCCCAAGTGACGTTGAGGAAGAGGAGTCGGGCCGCTTGTTCGCACATCGATTCACCAATGGAGATGGGAAAGCGTAGAGGAATCGAAGAGATCGTCGGTGTATTGGGCGCCACCTGCAAGCACAGAGTTCGAAGCCCCGATTAGTTTGAAACCATCGCTCCTGTTCAGCGCCTCTTTCTCTCTCTCCTCTCTCTCTCTCTCTCTCTCTCTCTCTCTCACCATCTCTATCTCTCACCATCTTTCACTCTTTCTATCCATCTATCCAACTATCTATCTGTCTACATAGTTGTTGTAAACGGGTTCATGTTGATGTTCAAAGAGATAAAAGCAAAAGTCACCTTGGTCATGTTAAGATTGCTGTAGATGGGATGTGGTAAGGCATGATGGGCCGTCGGTGCAGCGACAGTGACGCGGGGCTCGGGTGCTGGCTTTGGCAATACGAGATCTAGCGCGGCGTTTGGTGGTGGCACCATTGTCGACATAATCTCCGGCTCCTTGCCACCGTAGTAAAGAGCCATCTGCCTGCGCAAGGTCGAGTTGCGTGGGCCACGTTCGTGTTGAACAGCTGTGAGCAATTAAAAGAAAGTTCAGCGTCCGGATGGGTTTGGATTATAATAACATATTACTTTAATTGTGGTTGCCTCGCTCCCTTAAAAGCTTAAGCCACTAGCTTGGGCATTATATGGGGTAAAGTGCCGTTGAGCGACCGTATAGTTGGCAAATCCGTCAGTATTGTCGGTTAAATGGGAGGAGAAAGACGTCTCAAAGGCATAACGTCCAATTATCATAGAATATTTGCAGTGTCAGCTAAGATAATCGAGAACTACTTACCGTCTCTGTTCATGCCGGATTGAATGCACTTGGCCAGTCGACAGGCGCGACATTGATTCCTGTGGGTCTTGTCGACCATACAGCCACCCTCGGCTTTGGCCTTGCAGGCGTATTGGCGATTTCGTCGGATCGAGCGCTTGAAGAAACCCGCGCAGCCATCGCAGGCGTAAATGCCGTAATGTTTGCCGGACGAGTGATCGCGGCATACTTTGCACGGCACATCCAGCAGTATTCGGCCTATAAAACCGTATCATCTAACTTTAGATTATGTCGGTTGGCCAAATAATACAGGGCTACGCAGTCTTATGCATTACGATTACGCGGAATTAATCTAGTAAATATTAATTATCTAATATAATACCTCGAGGTATAATCACCATCGTATATATACATTAATTTTCATATTTAAATTAAACGTAAATATCATCTTGGTCAGATTCATATTGCTTTAGATGAGATGCAAAATGTAAATAACCTACTCTAAAGATTATGGTTTTTCTTACATGGAATACAAAGTGAACGTTACTCGAGAGTTAACATTGAAAATTGTTATTTAGCATTGCCAAGTACATTGGGGTTCAATTGACAATCATCGCACTTTACCTTTTAGTGATCGAACCAATTCATTATCTTATTCATTCTCATATGCATATTTCTAATTTTTTCTCGCTAGCATTGTATGGGTTAAGAAAATAAAGGATCGAACGGTCGATGGAGCCTAAAGACCTCGTAAATGCATCGTGTCGTGACGTGACGCCCATTGCTTGCTCGTCTCGTGTCTTCACACGTCATTCGTTTCGAATTAAAGCTCCCTCAACGCGCAGACGCTCTCACCTGAAAATCTCGCTGTCAGAGAGCGAGCGCGAGGATCGGCTGCTAAACGGCCGTTTCCATGCAACAATAAAGAAAGCTAGAAAGAAATTGATTGGTAGATTGTGATAGGATGAAGTGTCGCATTTCGGACGCTGCTCACTTATGGACAGCGAGTAACTCAATGGGTGCTGCAGCAGCCACATCCGGCCCATTCAGCGCTCCATTATTCTCGAGTCTCGCCCCCGGGGGCTTTTTCATTTACACCGTACATATTATAGGAAGCGTAGGCGGGGACTGCTCGACTCCCGAGCGTCACTCTCTCTCTCTCTCTCTCTCTCTCTCTCTCTCTCTCTTCACCCCTCCCCTTCCCACCATTTCACTGCGACAATCCCACCTTCTGCCTCATACTCGTGCGACTTTTGCGACAAATCGACGCTATTCACGGACTTTCGACGGTCGACGCTAGTCATTCAACGAAAAGTGCGTGTTTTCCCTTCATAAATGGGTTCCCACTCAAAATACCATCATTCAGCGCGCGTAAGATTAACGCCAGCGTGCGCCCATGAATGAATATACTCTTTCCATTCTTCGCTTTTTCAGCGACGAACGCTCCGAGACTTTTCGATTTCATTGAGTGCAGACCCTGACGACGTGGATGAAGTGTAAGAGTGACGTTTAAGGAAGTATTTGACGTTTTTTTCAAAACTTCCTGTCCCATTAAATGCCAGTCGAGAGAGAAATTCGCTCGCTTCTACGACTGGGTTAATATGGCTGGCTTTTCCTGACTGTCAGGGGATGTAGTGAATAGAGCGGATGCATGTGAAAAACTCCTCCCGCACGCAAATCTTATGGAATGCAAATAATATCTTTATTTCTAATATTATTGTTCGAATGTTTTTGTCAATTATGAAGAGAACGAGCTTCTCTTTAATCGTCGAGCTATTTTTAATAATTATAAGTAAATAAATATAATAATAATAACAATAATAATAATAATAATAATAATAATAATAATAAACTTTTACTTATATATATATATATATATATATATATATATCTTTTTCTCTCTCCGTCTCTCACCCTCTCTCCCCCTTTTTACGCAGAAAATAATCCAGAAACAGAACTAAATCTTTTATATTGATCTTTCTAATTGATTCTATTAATAAATATGAAAAAAATCTTAATGCAACATTTATATAAAAGGACGATAAATAAATACAGTACATAAAAAAAAGTTTTCCTATACAAAACCGCAAACCGAAGCGATAAGTCATGTGTTATCCATAAGGTTCGGTTATTACTGCCAATTTCCATTGGGTGAAAATGTATCTGCATAAACTCCACTGCCGCCGATCAATAATAAATAACTCAAGTTTCATTAAATTATTATTATTTCGCGATGCAAGAATGTACAGATGACTCCCAATGAAATTGTTTTATTTATTGCTCGCAAATCCAAATATATTTTCTGTATTAATATATTGTGTAATCAATGTTAGCGGAGGAAAAATAATAATGTATACTTAAACACGAAAATAATAGGATGCAATAACTTTGGATATTATTTTTCGCATACATAATGCAATTACATTGGAAGTGAAACCATACGTCATTAATATTTTATCACGATGTTGAGAAAAATTCTCGCTAATATTGCAAAAATACCGAATGTAGAGAACAAAGTAGCAGAAAAATAATATACGCTTGGCAATTGTTCAATGAATATTAATTAAACTCCCATCTTATTGATAAAAATATATAGAGATCTATAGAGTATTTTTATAGGGTAAAAAATGGTAAAGGCTTCCCTCGGCAACAAAGATTCCTAACATTTTGTGACAATGTAGCTTATAATCGCCGGACCGATTCAGTTTTGTCTACTTAGCTCCGGCTATGGCAGTGAGAAAACCAGAGCGGATAATAAAACTTCTGGGAAATAACGGGTGAAAGAGAAACGAAAGGAAGAGCAAGGAGCCGATGAAAAGGAGAGGGACAGGAAATTGCCCATGATATAATTCTCGAGTGGCTAGGTATTATGAGTCCAGTGGCCAAGTTCGTAAAAGCGCGTTCATGTGCAGCGCTAAAACGAAATTATACATTGACCGCTGTTAGTGGGCGTCACGCGTCGACATATAAGAGCTTCAGAGGGAGAAAAAAGTACGAGAGCTTCGTCTACCTGTGTATATATTAATATACATACGTGTGTGCTTGAATATTTTATAACGGATAGCGGGGGCAGTCGCTACTGACGTTGGTCTCAAAAATTCATGAGTCTTTTACAATATTCGTCGAGTTTTCTCGCACTCCCTCTTATATTATAAAGAACGAGGCATTCACTATTTTTTAAATGCATTAGCATTAAGTCGCATTCGCAAATGTGGATGTTTTATCGCTTGTGACACGCGCGCACACACGCGCATATACGCACGCGTGCCCACACGCCCGCACGCCCGCACGCAGTCGCCTACATACTCACGCACTAACGCGCCCACATAAACACCCAAACACCCAAACATTTAGTGTTAGTGATATAAAAGCTTGGATGTCTTGCTACCATATATTTTATATGATAAATTAAATAAAATGATTATTAGAATTATTCAATCATAGATTTATGTTTTATATTCTATGTCTCCGTCGCTCTCTTCTCTTCTTATTTTATATGTTAGTAAAATGTTTCGTACCACCGTGGTTACAAAAACTCACGCAATTAATCATACTTTATAAGAATTTTAAACCACAAATGATTCAACAATCTGAAATGCAAGAAAAAGTTTTTAATACTTATCATTTAATATTAAACGTCACTCACAATTACGATAGAAAAATGTAATTATTAATTAAAAGGATTGTGTAGCCTGTACGTGTAAGTATTAAATTACCCATTTAATTATTAAGACGCCCATTTAATTGCAATAGAAGCTTGGGCATATTTTACTCTCGGGACGATATTATCAATTCGATAGGTCGGTGCTATAAAAATTTTGTAAAATATAATATTGACAAAGGAGGAGAAATTAAGTCGGATCGTCTCGTTTCAATGATACATAAAATCCTCTAAATACTTTGCTCATGGCTTCTCCATTCAAGACATACGAATAAGCTCATATTATGTGACTTTGTTAGGAGGGCGGAACTCACTCGCTTGCACGCGCGTACACCGGATGTGATTCACTTGCGCACACGAGCCTCGGCATGGATCTTCTTCTCCCTCATTTATTTATTATCATACTCATCTATTATTTATTATTTATTATTTATTATCATTTATAATTTATTATTATTATTTTAAAGGAACCTTATATTTTCAACGAAGGGGAGATGAGGGCGCGAGCTTCTATAGTGTACGTGCGTGCGTCTGTAATCGTGTATGCACATAGGGTTGGCTTTTAACGTGGCAGGTTGGACTTTTTGCTCTCCTCGCGAGTGCACCGGCTATTTTTATTGATTATAAGCGGTTTATAAGTGTGGACTAGTAGTGTGCGCACGTATTGCTAATGTGATATATGCAGAGTTTATAATTGCATTTACGTAGTAGATAAATACGCTGAAGCGGTTATTAATATATCCGTTTTCTCTTTTAAATATTCTATCGCGTAACGTTCATCTGTTATTAGATCGGCCGTTTGAATAGCAAATTCTAATGTCAGACGGTGTAGACTATATTAAGTGGTACTTTAGTTATTTATAAGTTCTTTGAAGTATTTTTACGCATAAAATGGCTTTTAATCCACAAGAACAAATGCTCGCGTCTGATTCAATTGAATATACACACACACACGTATATATATATATATATATATATATATGTACGCACGAGTTATGTAATATTCTACATGATTTCCAATGCTATTAATTACATAAATAATATAAACCATTTAGTAATGCTATTGCAGAAAATTATTTACGTATATACAATTAAATATTAACGGAGTAAGTAAATTAATTATTAATCGCTAGAGATATTTGTATAGTAACAACAAAAGTGGACGAATTTTAACTTTAAATAATTGAATGAAAAACAAAATTAGATATATCAACGATTTCTTGGAATTAATTCGATTAATTAATAAGCTGCATTGAAAGTGAGAGAGAAATCTATGTTCGTAGATAAAAGAAAAGATAGGAGAGCGATCGAATACAACCTGACGAAAATTCTCACGTAATTAGGTGGATGAGTGGTGCAACGTGCGAGCAACCCTATCGAGAAACAAATTACCACCAGCCAAAAGACCCTCTAATTACTTTTCTCGCATCATATATTGTTGCGTGAATTATCATTAACGAAGCTATCCGTTGAAAAAAAAAAAAAAAAAAAAAAAAAAAAAAAAAAAAATCTCCCCCCCACGAACACGCGCCGAGCTACTCGTGCATGGGAATTTCGCGACATGTGTACGTGTGTACGACAACGACATAGGCGGACCAACGTTAAGTGCACAAACACGCGGAGCATCCAAGGTGTTACGTTGAAACGTGCACTCCCAGTGGATGAGTCAGGCAGACGTCATCTGCCATCCCGTTGTAGCGTCACGGATTCGATTGCTAACTGTTCGGGGGTTGTTTCGCGCTCCTCGTCCTAACGACATTTACCAGAAAATCAATTGCCGGAAAGAGAGTTTTTATTAAGTATTATGTATACACTATTGGCAACAATTTGTGTGCTTTCGAAGCTATCTTTTTTTCTTTTTTTTTTTATGCATTTTCTTGTTTTTACAGAACAGCAGTATTGTTTCATTTAGAAAGATGTTTGCTTTGATATTACGGATTTATACCGATTTCATATTGTGAATGTTCGTTCACTCAGATATTATTAGAGATTTAATATATTGACTTAAGTTAATATGTTAAATAATTGTTTTCCATGCCTATTATTTGAATAATTAATTTTGTTTCTTATAATAAGGTTTTCGCATGCAACAATGTTTATTTAGTAAATATCTTTGAATTAAGTGTAGATTGCAAAGCGAGACAGTAATGGTACACTGATTTTTTCCATTATTTTTACTCTCTCTCTCTCTCTCTCTCTCTCTCTCTCTCTCTCTCTCTCTCAATATTTATATATATATATATATATATATCTTTTTTCCGACCTTCCTCTCCATCTGTCTATATATCTTTGGTCATCTCTTTCTCTTTCGTCAGTCTTTAAAAAATAGCATTGGTAATGTTGTTTTAACTGATAGACCTTTGGCCTCTGCGAAACTCTCTTTTATATTTGAGAGTAACAAGAATCACGATTTGAGAGGAATTAATAAAAAATAGCCTCTGGCAGTGTAGCACGGGGAACAAATATTGTATGATAAAGAAAGAGAGAGTGAGAGAGGAGGAGGATGACGATGATGAGCGGCGGGGGGAGAGAGTCAAAGTAGCTTGCGGGACCTTTGTATTTTCAAAGCTGGAAAGAAATCGACGCTCAAGTGTACGTATTTGGCAACGATTGTTGATTATTTGCTTTTATGTTGTTTTTCTCTCGTATTTTGCCCGATGGGTGGAGCGCCCTTGTACAGCAAGGAAGCAAGAAAGCTACTCTCAAGCATATACGATAATCAACGTATTGTACTTACTGTTCATTTCATAATTAGATTTCATTATCGAGATTGCATTGATCGTTAAATAATGTCTATTCTATTATAATGTAACAAATTTATGGAAAACCCCGATAATTACTAATGTTGTTTTGTACCGTCCGTCTTACACCTACGCAAAGAGCAAGGAGATGATGTAATTCGTCGATCTAAAATATCCTATTAAAAGACTCGATCGAGTCGGCATTATTCTTTCAAGTAATCTTGATCAAGTAATCATATAACGAAGGAGACTTGTTGATAATTAAAACGGGCTCAAATTTTCCCGAAATTTCCGCATTTCTTATCATTACAAACTATTAAATAATCCGCTGATGCTTTTGTGTGCTTTAACGCGTTGGTGGCAGAAGCGACGGCGAGGGTGGTTTAAGGGCAATTTGGGCGGCTGCTGATTGCTCATCCCATTTTCTCTTCTTTAAATGTCAAATGGTTTTAGTCTTCCAGGCAAAGCAAGGTACTTGAATATTGCATTTGCGAGGCATTATTTACAATTCCTAATTAATTAAACAACTTCATTTGTATTAAATGAACTTTTACGCGAGATAGAGATTTTTCACAAGGATTGTTAATTATTCTACCGTAATAATAATATGAATTTTTTGTTTTAATATTCAAAACATTACGTCTTTCATTAGATTAAAAATGTAAATTTCATTCGTCGTAAAATAGTTTTTATAAAATTTTATTAACGAATAGTTGTTTTAATATAGTTTTAATGTTTTTAACGCAACTTTTCTAATTGAATTTTCATTGACGTATCGAGGCAAACATTGCATTATTATTACAAATTACGCTATAAGATAATTAATACGATCGATTAATTGAGTGTCTGAAAAAAAAGAAAGAAAGAAAAATAGTTGATAGAACATGTAATTTTGATAATACGAGAAGTTACAAAATTTCTACAACTTTCAATGCTTAAAAGATACAAATTTTATTCATTTGCGTTCCGAGGCAAATATTGCGTTATTATTACAAATTGCACTGTAAGATAATTAATTCGATCGATTAATTGAGTGTCTGAAAAAAAAAAGAAAGGAAGAAAAATAGTCGATAACATATGGAATTTTCATTGTAGAAAAAGTTAAAAAATTTCTACAATTTGGTATGCTTAAAAGACAAAAATTTTATTTACATAAAAGGAAAATATCTCATATTCCAAAATCTGCAGCGTATACAAGTTTACGTAATTGCCTCTCTTCGTTTTTACCATTTGAGCAGAAAATAAAGGGACGAATGATTAAGTTAACAAGATAAGGGACCCTGAACGAATCGAACTGAAAACAACCGGAGAGCTGTCATTTATTGCGTTTCCGACAGTCTCTTTGATTTTGGCATTTCTCAAGCGCTTAAGCCAAGGCCCAACTGTGTTGGGACGTAAAGGTAGGAAGAAGAGCGCCGATTTCATTCTCCGCTCGTCGGGGAAACGTGGAAACCCTATACCGGCGCGCTTTGGGTTTTTCATTTTTCTCTTTTGCGCGTTCAGGCAGAATACCGGCGGCGGTAATAATGTCGGCGCCGGTGCTCAGGTTTACGCACGGCTCCTTCGAGTTTTACTTTCTACTTACTGCTACGACAATTCTGATTTTATCCCTTATATGGTACTTCATTACTAGATTACTTTTAATTAGGATCTTTAATGCCTTTAATAACTCCATTTAATTTAACAGTATTTACTATATTTATATTGTATCATTTATATAGCTAAGGACATAAATATACGTAAAGCTTCTGGCATAATTGTAATAATTTCCTGCCAGTTTCAGTATTTATAAGACAATTAGTGTTTGTGGAATGGCAGTACATGAGTAGAGAAAAGATATTACAATTCGCTAGACGAACGTTCTTAAATATTCTTATCAAAAGTCTAATTTCCTTTTTAATCTGAACGCATGATCTTTTAGTTAATGTATATTCTTAACTTGCGCCTTGTGCTTTCAATCAATTCTTAACTTTAAATTGTCCAACTTGATCTCTTAATCTTCTTTACTTAAGATTCCATTGGGTTTTCGTTACCGTAACAGTGACTTTCAAATTCTACAAATATTAATGTTTACCCGACTGTTTTACAATTTCAATATAGCCGACACTTAAATATCTAATTTTTGGTATTTCATTTAGCGTCTATCGACATTTTATTAACGACACGTACAATTGGATAATTATTTTTAAGTAATTATATGCCATGAAAATCGTGCAATAAATTGAGTAAAATAAATGAAGGCCGATAGGGCTATTTTTTCTTTTTTGTTCAGCATTGGAGGCGCGAACCAATAATATTGCTAGTGACGAACCATTGTACACGTAGAAGAAAAAGAGAAAATTTTAATCGACTATAAACGCCAATAAGCTAGCGTGCACTATTGCGTGGCTGAATTGTCGCGCTGACGAAGCTATAAATATCTTAAGGCTACTATAAGTGAAGAGGAAAGGATATTTACACTTACTGGACGACGGCTGCATCTTAGGTTGGGAGACAGTGTGCGGTATATGGCCCATTTGTGTCTCTTGCCTTTGCATCATTTGCCCGCGAGCCAGGATGAATAAGGTTAGGCAAGTCTTAGCGCTTGCACTCTAGTGTCACAAATAAAAATAACAAGATCCCCTGGCACATCGACTATCTGTCGCAGCGAATTCCAGACACCTCGTCCGCTTGTTGCTACTTCTGCAGGAACCTTCAGTAGGCGGGGATCCTCGGCATGTCGCTCGCGTTTCGTTTCATTCACAACGGCAGAGCTTTTACCGTCCGACGGCCGTTAATTCGCAGCGAGATACTGCGTGGCGCTCACTTGGCTGACTCTTGAGTGAATTCTGACTGACAGTCAACCGAGCGCGGGACTTTTTGATGTGCCTCGGCTTTACTTTTCCACGGGGTGTTCAAGCTCCGCTGGAAGCCTATTGGTCATACAGTCGAGCCCCTACTCTTCGCCGAAAAAAGGGCGGCTCCTAAAGCTACCTCCCTCCTCTCTCTCTCTATCCATCTCTATCTCTATCTATCTCTATCTCTCTCTCTCTCTCTCTCTCTCTCTTTCTCTCTCTCTTTCACTTCGGACTTGTTTCGCTCGCCGTCGGGGTTGAAAGCTGCCTTACGAACGAGAGTGCGCGAATGCGCGCTCGAGAGGGTGTGTGAGTGAGTGAGAGAGAGAGAGAGAGAGAGAGAGAGAGAGAGAGAGCGACGCCCAGAGCATGCGCGCACCCGCTTTCGGGCTTGCTCCATTCATCCCGCCGCACCCCTCCACGGATGCCCGAGCTCGATGTACCAGCCTCTCCCTATTGTTACGCATCTCCGGCGTGTCCTCGACGATGGATGCTATCGCACGCGTTCGATTGCCCTGGGGCTCATTGTATAGTCACCGGACGGAAGATGCGCGCCGCGAGATTTGACTAATGAATTGCTACTTTGGACTACACTCAAACATGACGATAAGGCTGGGGTGTCGCGTCGCTTTTGTGAAAACGAGAGGCCCGATAAGATTTGCCGGGCTTGGGGATGACTCCGCGGCTTTCGCTGCAATAATGCCATTCGATATATGATTTTGGACGTTAAGGGGAGCGTTTTAAGTGGAGGAAATTTGCGTGCATGCGGGCTCCGGCTTGAATTCGCTTTTATTTTGCACACGTCAATGTAAGAGATTGTCTAAGTAAGTGCACCTCCGACTCTTTGCAGTGAACGGAGTTTATATTCTCTCGTCCGTTTGTTACGAGTGGTTGTGAAGATCGTAAGTAGTTGGGAGAATTTCGATGTTCCGCATTGTGCTGTATTACTTGAAATGAACGTTTCGAGTAGATTAAGTGCACACGAACATGTCGACGACTGTCAAGGAATTTTTGTTGAGGCATTTTTTCTTTTAATACCAAATTATGAAGATATTCTCGATTAAGAAAATTAAACAAATTGACGAATCGTTGACGATTACCGATATATTACTGATATATTCATACATATATACATATTTACGTATATGTATGTATGTATGCACATATTTGTACAGTCATTAAAGCTGGATAAACGAAGGATTGTACGTAGTGTGAATTGCATATTAAAAAGGGGATCGAGCAATGATCTGAATAATGATAATTCTATTTGGAACGGATTTGTCGTTTCTCTGAAGATGTCGAAAAAGCAATACTCACCCTTATATGCTCTAACAATTATTTGCGATATTATTAAAGAGGAGCACACTAGGTGTTGCATACTTTCAATTGTCTTAAAAGCGCACAAGACAATGTCGTGCTTATAATTCGCCCAATTATTATCAATGTTAAAGAGAGTCATGGGCATCAAAGATTTCGAACATTAAGGCATTAAATATTTAATTAAGTAGCATCAGTTCGCAATAATTTCATTACATGGTCAAAGGTATTAAGGGCGATAGTAGCCTTTCAGACGCCGAGTTTCCGCAAGTGTTGGGACGAAGGAAACTTGAAAAGTCGCACAATGGATAAGGACAATGGATAATGAGATCGTACCCCAGGGGTAGTTTTCATCGTAGCGGCTGTCGGGGCCCGCCCTTACGATAGGCCGCGATGCACCCATGAACTGTCCCAAAGCCGCGCGTACAAGAAGATGGGGCGAGAGGGTGGGAGAGTCGGCCATTATGAATCTCGGCGAGTCTTCGCCCGGCAGATGCGTGCAGCGGCTTCTGACTCCCTGACTCCATCTTGAATTATCCGCATGGTAGCGGCGCGATCGCGTACTATCCCTCCGTGTATCACTTGCCGACCTTTTAGCGCTTTAGGCGAGTCGGAAGAACCGGGCTCCCATACAACGAGCCTCTTCGCCCGGAAAATCGTTTACTCGAGTCTCCACGTCGGCCTTCTCTTGATTTTTACTTCTTTATTTCATTCCACCTACGTTCATGTATCATCTTCTCTCGGCTCATCTAAGATACACGCACATGTATGTTTTGCTTGTGGGATCTTTTTACCTCTGCCTTGATGGAGATGCATTGTATAAGCGGAATTCGCACGCACAGATTTTGAGGGTGATACGCTTGTTGATTTTCTCTCTCTCTCTCTCTCTCTATATATATATATATATATATATATATGTGCGTGTGTGTGTGCGCGCGCGCGCCTTTCTTCGGCTGCAAGCGTCGCCGGGCTAGGGAGGGGAAGTTAAAAGAGGAAAATAATAGATTTCTAGCTAGTTGCCTTTACGTGTCTCTTTATCCTTGGATCTAGGGAGGAGAGAATCCTATGATGGAGGAGAAATTTATAAACTTCGATTAAAGGCTTTTGTAAATATTTATGTTTACCTACATCGATTTGCGCGTTTTATAAATATGCATGAGTAAACTGACCTTGGAACACCTATAATGAATTATATAATTAAGCATAGGATCTAAATGTCCTTTAATTTTAGGATATTACATTACTTTTAAAAATAATAATACAATACTCGTACCGTTAGTCAAAAACTTTTTAGTTTAAATTTTTTTCCAAGTCATAATGCAATTTTCATATCAAATAATACTAAAAAAAAAATATTTATTTATACACAATAGATGGAAAATCAAGAGGAAATAACTAAACAACTTGATCGACAATCCCTTATAAAATCTGGCCTATTCAATCTGTTCTTTCTTTACTAAGGATACGAGCAAATCTAGAAGATATTTGTATGTTTTACTTTTGAGGTTTTTTAGACCCACACATTTTGTTACAACGTTTGCACGAATTATTCTTCGAGGGATATGGGATTTGATCTATTATCCTATTTGTTGTCAAATAAGGTGAAAAATCGTTTTATTAATTTTTTTTCTTTTTTTTTTCTTTTTCTACATAGGTTCACGATATAATATATATTATCTATTTTTTATTTTAATTTTTAATTTTAAATTTTTTTCTATATTTTTTTTTTTTTTTTTTTTTTTTTTTTTGTCAATCCCATAAGCCGCTACATCGATTTAATACCAATACTCTTAAAGGGCAAATTTTTATTTATTATAGTCGTAACTTTTGTTACCACATGTAACAATCATTCAAAGTCGCTTCGTTTTATTTCATTTCACTTGGCCCACATACCTTAGCCAAAGCATACCTACACGCAAACAAAGACACTCAACCGCTAATTTAAATAGGGAAAGTAGGATTTCTGCTAAACTGACTTTACAAGTATCTCCTCACGCTCGATTTCCGCAGAGCATTTCCTCCTACGCGCTATATGTGCCCTACTCACGTTCTCGGTTCGACCTCATGTTCCCAATTCCTCCTCGTAAAGAACAAAAAGTCCGTGGCGGTGCCGAAAACTCAGGGGCGGCAGCAGTCGACGCCGGGGAGAAGATAAAAACGGAAAAAAGGAATGGAGGGAGAAAATAAGGAGCGAAGGAAAAATGGAGCGAAGGACCGACAGAAAAGAAATGTCGGGAGCCGGAATTCCCCTCCCCCGCGCGCTGCTTTCCGCGTCGGGTTCGGTCAACGGGAAAAGGAGAGCGGACTTACGCGCTCGAGGAGGCGCGCGGCTCTAGCGTTTTGCCTTCGGCACATTGCGCCCAGGAGATTATCCGCGTAACTATCCGGGAAATCTCCTCGCCCCCTCCCTTTATCCAACAATCCCGCCCTTTATTTCCCCGCCGCGGCCGTGGCTTTCGCCCTCTTCTCTTGCAAGCCAACAACAAAGCCGGTTTTTGACGCGTCCCGTTTTTCTGCCTCGGTCCGGAGGCGCAGGACTCGTCGGCCGCTCTCGTTTTGCACCGAATTATGTCTCTGGTCATTTCGAGAAAGATTACCGGCTACTTTTTGATTTTAGTTGCCAATGAGTAGCTGAAGGAAAAATTCGTTTGTTGGAGCGAAAAGCCTGCAGCTCGTAATAATGGGAGACGAGTTCGGACCCTTGGCCGCGGGCTTTTTATTTCCCGTCTCCTTAAGTTTAAGTAGCTTATCCATGAACTTCCTCCTGAATTTTTGCGCTAATAGCCGTTAAAATAAAACACAACCGACAATTCCTTTTATATGCGCACCGTTTGCCTTGCGCACCACCTACACAGATATATTCTTAGTTGTTGCGTGGCCAGATCGTAGTATCCCGCGGTGATCAATGTTTTGCCGCTGGGCCGGACTATCGATAAAATACCTCGGATATTCGTAAAACCATTATCATTATTAATAATTTTGGTCAGGGCTATCGTTAACAATTGACTATAATGAAAAATAAATAAAAACGAAAATAAAAATTTAATAAGAGCTTCGAAAAAATTCAACGAGCAATCCAGTCGAGATTGATTAAATTTTCGTCGAACAGCCTCGACGATTAAATATGAAACGCAATAACGTATTGTGATGAGATTTCGCTTACGAATTAAAAGGGAGTAGTGAGCGATCAAGATAGCAAATGGATCTGCAAAAATAGCGCAGATGAAAATGGCGGGCAAAGCGAGGGGAGCGGGGAACGGGAAGTACTGGGGAGCAATGAGATTCGAGTCGTATTGTCAAGAAGGCAAATACAACTAAAAGGCTGTAATGTGGGTCCGGAGAATCAAAATACAATTGTTCATCTGGCTTTGGGGACCGATGGAGGA